CTGGTGGGTTCAAACCCAGCCGGGGCCAGTTAAACAACAATGACAATTGCAACCAAAAAATAGCCAGGCGTTGTGGCAGGTGCTGGTAGTCGCAGCTACTTGGGAGGCTGAGGCAAGAGAATCTCTTAAGCCCAAAAGTTTGAGGTTGCTGTGAGCTGTGATGCCACAGCACTCTACTGAGGGCCACATAATGACACTGTCTAAAAACAAAACAAAACAAAACTTCAGAAATCGATTTAACAAAAGAAATGTAAAACCTACACTCTGAAAACTGCAACATGGTATTGAGAGAAAAATTAAGGAAAACGTGACCAGGCTGGGAACGGTGGCTCATGCCTGTAATCCTAGCACTTCGGGAGGCTAAAGCAAGAGGGTTCCTGAGCCCAAGGGTTTGAGGTTATAGTGAACTATAGTGACTCCACTGCACTCCAGTCAGGGGAACAGAGACCCTATGTCTAAACAAATTAAAAATTGAAAAAAAAAAAAAGCAAACATGTAAGCAAATGTATATGTAATGAAATATGTATGAGGGGAATCATGAGGTATTTAAAATACCTCAGTGAAGCAACCAACCCCAGCTCTGGGGAAACATGAAACAAAACCATCATAGTACAGATCAATTGCTGAAGCTGCCCTGTCAGATGCCAACACACCACTTTGTGCCTCCAGTATGTCCCTTCTAGATTCAAGAATGACTAAACCCTCTCTCTGCTGCCTCATCAGTTTGTCCCTTTCTGCAGATTTGCTCTTCCTGAACATACATGCAGGCTTCATATAACAAGTCACTTCTATTCCCCTTACCACAAAGCCTGCCGCAGCCTGGCTCTCCTCACCTCCTTTCGTTCCTGAGACCCCTGCAGCGGGGCTCTGCCTTATTCACAGCACTGAAACTTCCTGACAAGGTCACAATGGGTCTCTATGTGGCCAAATCCTATGGCCTCTTCCCTTTCTTCTCTTTACTTGGTGTCTTAAACAGTATGCACCTCGGCAGATGGCTTCCTCCTCCTTAAAACGTTTCCTTCTCTTGGTTTCAAAGACACCACCATCTCTCTAAGTGACCTCATTCAGGCCTCTTCCTTTAATTATTTTAAAGACTGCAAATTTATTTTTTTGGTCCTGACCTGAGTGCAATTAACAGCCTATCAACACTTCCAGTGGGAGGCAGCATATATATCCCACGGGTAATGTAGCTCAAACAGAACTCCTGATTCTTTTTCCCCTGCCCAAACTTATACCTCCCCCATCTCAGTATCAGTCTTGTGGAAAACATAATCTGCATTGCATTTATTAGGGCCACTTAAATTCTTCTGACAGCATTTCTTTTAGTAAGAAATTCTTTTACTGTGTTTTTAATTTCTTTTTTTTATTAAGTCATATATACATAGATCATGAATACATTTATGCCTTTGTTGATTATTTGTACAAATTAGAGTGCTACTAATTAACATAGCTTTCACCTCATTTACTTAATCAGTGTTAAGACATTTGTGTTCTATACTTGATAGATTTGACTTGTATCCTTGCAATATGCTCCATAGGTGTGGTCCCACCATTTAACCTCCCTTCCCATCCCCCCTCCCCGTCCCTCCTTCATCCTGGGCTATAGTAGTGATTCATCTTTCATATGAAAGTGTGAGCGATTATAAAGTGCTTTCATAGTAGTACTGAGTACATTGGATATATATTTTTCTATTCCTGAGAAACTTTACTAAAAAGAATATTTTCCAGCTCCATCCATGTAAACATAAAAGAGGTAAAGTCTCCATCTGTTTTTAATGCTGCATAGTATTCCATGGTATACATATACCATAATTTATTAACCCATTCATGGGTTGATGGGTATTTGGGCTTCTTCCATGACTTGGCAATTATGAATTGAGCTGCAATGAATAATGTGGTGCAAATATCTTTGTTGCCAAGTGATTTTTAGTTTTTTGGATTACACCTAGTAGAGGAATTGCAAGATCAAACAGCTGGTGGACATTTAGATCCCAGAGTGTTCAATAAACTTCTTTCCAAAACAAATGTACTAGCTTGCATTCCCACCAGCAGTTTAGAAGTGTTTCTTTTTCTTCACTTCCATGCCAACATCTGTAGTTTTGGGATTTTGTGAGGTGAGTTACTCTTACTGCAGTTAGATGATATCTCAAAGTGGTTTTAGTTTGCATTTCTCTGATGATTAAAGATAATGAGCATTTTTTCATGTGTCTGTAGACTGTGTGCCTGTCTTCTTCAGAGATGCTTCTGTTCATGTCTCTTACCTATGATGAAATGGGATCATTTGTTCTTTTCTTATTAATAAGTTTGAGTTCTCTCTGGATTCTGATTGTTAGACCTTTGTCAGAAATATAACTTGTAAAAATCCTCTCCCATTCTGAGAGCTGTCTAGTTGCTTTACTTACTGTGTTCTTGGCAGTGCAGAAGCCTTTTAGTTTGATTAGATCCCAGTAATGTATTTTTGATGTTGCTTCAATTGCCTGGGGGGCCTCCTCATAAAGTATTCTCCCAGGCCAATTTTTTCAAGGATGTCCCTTGCACTCTAAGAATTTTTATAGTTTCATGTCTTAAATCCTTTAACAAGTGAGAGTCAATTTTTGTTAGAGGAGAAAGGTGTGGGTCCAGTTTCAGTCTTCTACAAGTTGCTAGCCAATTCACTCAGCACCATTTGTTAAATAGGGAATCTTTCCCCCAATTTATATTTTTGATAGACTTATCAAAGATCAAATGACAAAAGTGTCTGGATTCATCTCCTGGTTTTCAATTCTGTTCCATACATCTACCTCTCTATTTTTGTGCCAGTACCAAGCTGTTTTGATCACTATAGATTTATAGTATAGTATGAAGTCTGGAAGCATGATTCCTCCTGATTTGCTTTTATTTCTGAGTGATGTCTTGGCTATTCGAGGTTTTTTTCTGTTTCCGTATAAAATGAAGTACTGATTTTTCCAGATCTTTTAAGTATGACAGACATGCTTTAATAGGGATAGCATTAAATCTGTAGATTGCTTTGGGTAGTATAGACATTTTAATAATGTTGATTATTCCCAGCCATGAACATGGTATATTTTTCCATTTGTTAACATCTTCAGCTATTTTCTTAGAATTTTATAGTTCTCTTTATAGAGATCTTTCACGTCCTTTGTTAGGTACATTCCCATATATTTCATTTTCTTTGATATTATTGTAAAGGGAATAGAGTCCTTGATTGTTTTTTCACCTTGACTATTATTGATATAAGGGCTACAGATTTGTATTTATTTTGTATCCTGAGATGCTGCTGTATTCCTTGATCACTTCTAGTTTTGTAGTTGAGTCCCTGGGTTTTTCCAGATATACAATCATATCTGTGAAGAGTGACAGTTTCATCTCCTCTGATCCAATTTGGATATCCTTGACCACCTTTTCTTGCCTGATTGCAACGGCTAAGACTTCCATTACAATGTTAAAAAGCAGTGGAGACAATGGGCAACCTTGCCTGGTTCCTGATCTGGATGGAAATGATTTCAATTTTACTCCATTCAATATGATGCTGGCTGTGGGTTTGCTGTAGATGGCCTCTATCAGTTTAAGAATTGTTCCTTCTATACCTATTTTCTTAAGCATTCTGATCAAGAAAGGATGTTGATATTTCCGCATCAATTGAGAGAATCATATAGTCTTTGTTTTTTATGTGATGTATTATATTTATAGATTTACATATATTGAACTATCCTTGGGAACTTGGGATGAAATCCACCTGGTCATGACGTATCATTTGTTTGATGTGTTGCTGGATTCTGTTTGCTAAGATCTTGTTAAATATTTTTACATCAATATTCATTAGAGATACTGGTCTATAATTTTCTTTTCTTGTTGGGTCTTTTCCTGGTTTGGGGATCAGTGTGATATTTGCTTCATAGAATGTGTTGGGAAGTATTCCTTCTCTTTCTACATTTTGGAAAACGTTAAGGTTTTTTTTACAGGAAAATACTTTTCAAGTATGCAGGTAGCTGCCCATTCTTTTAAAGAAAATCTACTGCAAGCAAAGTTATCAACCTCCAGAAAAATCACACATAGCATTACTAAGCATACCCCCCCAAAGGTGTACATTATGCACACTTGGAAAATACAAAATTAAAATTGTAAGCAACAAGTGAGCTTCATATTTATAGAATGTGAAAAGTAGTCCCATTTTCAGCACTGTTGTATAAAGAATTGTCTTTTGATGTGAAGTTCATGAATTGTCCTGCTGTTGGGACCACAAAACGAGATTACAGAGCAAGATAGAGCATCTTAGCAATGTCCTCTTATTAAAGTTTTTTTTTTAATTTTTACTACTTTATCAAAACATATCCCTTAGGTATGTAGGATTCATTTTTAAAATTCTTCCTAGAAATAATATAGAAAGGAGAGGCACATTTATTCCCAATCACACTTCTGAAGATGCAGCTTGTGGTCAAGAAAGGTCTTCTCTCTCTTCTTTTCACTGGTTGTTTTTGGCCTTAGCATGTGTTAAGATGTGAGATTTCAGGTTAGTTGACTGAGCAAACTTCTCATTACAACCATCGAGGGGGCACACATAGGGCCTGTCTGGGATATGGATTCACACCTGTGCGCAAATTGAAGTCCCGTTAAAAGCGTTTTCCACAGCTTTCGAATGTGCACTGAAAGAGCTTCTCTCCAGTATGAACCAGTTGGTGTCGTTTTAGTTTTGAGCTCTCAACAAAAGCTTTGCCACATTCTGCACAGACGTGGACTCTGGGACGGTGAGTGTGCAGATGTTTTCTCATGGCAGAGTTATCCCTGAACATCTTTGTGCAGCATCTGTGAGGGCAAGCTATTGTTATTGAAGCATCATCTTTTTAAATTTTTCTTGGCTTCATTCTAGCAAATTCCGCCAGTTGTTTGGGGTCTGAGAGGTCAATTTTCCTCAAGGAGGAAATTTCTTTCCTGTCATATAATCTGAATAATCAGTAGGCAAGTTCTCTCCAATGATCTGTTCTTCAACCACTGTCTCATGGTCAGTATCTTTTTTTCACCAGAGAACCATATGGTGACCAGACGTCGCCGCCGGCCGGCGCGGGTACCGGGATAAGGATCTGGTCCTCGAAGCCGTCCTCATACTCGGCACGCAGCCCGTCCGAGTCGTCGCCGCCCACCACCTCCTCGCGCGTCTGCACCAGGATCACCTCCTGGTGGTGGTGCACCTGGGTCGGGTCGTCGGTGACGAGCGGCTGCAGCGCGATCATGGGCGGGTGGTGGTGGTGGTGGTGATGGTGGTGGTGGTGCCCGGCGTGCCCGTGGCCGCCCCCGCCGCCGTGGTCACCGCCGCCGCCGTCCTCGTCGTC